AACCAGGGGGAAGCTGATGGAAATGAATTCTGGTATTGGTGGCTGATCACTATCATTTAATATTTTTATGAATAGAACATTTCTTTAAAAAAGTATATGAATTTATTAAAAATATTTATATGGTTTCCCAATCTGGAATTCATACTTGGATGAAAGGTTTATGACGTTTTCTTGGACAGAATCAAATTAATACAACCTCGTACAGAGTGCAGGGCTTCTGTGAATTACTGTGTGGACAAGATTAATAAAGGATTGCCAATTTGGCATATTGTACTACTCAATAAAATTTAAATTATTAAATACTTTCTGCTACAATTAGCTGTAATATTATACTGTATATTATTGTGTTTTATATGACGTCATAAATCTGATGGGGGTCAACTCTAAATCGAGACACAGTCATCAGAGTGAATTAATTTTTCACTGTATGTGTTGGCCTTGTGTTTGGTGGCAAATACATGCAATTTCATATCATTTGCTCATGACTTCAGTACAGCATAAGCATCAACACATTTTAGGTTGACCCCACGTCAGAACGTGCAAAATGCCTAGTGAAACCCCAGAATTCATTGTATGTATTAGGTGTATGCAGACTGGAATACAAGTTAATATCACTGCCTGCAAAATTGTGATTTATTTAGAGAATAAAGGTTTTTTGAACACTTCTATAAATAAATTATAACAACAAAAGATGCTACAAGTTAAAATGAGTATTACATACTCCTGCACTTGAAAAGTTTACAGTACAGTATATACATTAAATAATAAAATATAAATCCCAAGATTGGATTTATTGAAACTAGTCATTAGCTAGTTCTTCGCAATTAAATAACACAAAGACAAATTAATAAAAGTTATTAACCATTTCTGACACAAATAGTATTTGCAAAATATAGCACATATTTGATATTATAGTCAAATAATAGTGTACTGACAGTACTGTATACTATGTATAGATTAAAACTACAGAAAACCTGTACAACACAAATATGAGTAAAGTTTTCACGCTCCATTTAACTGTTGTGATATTATACGCATTAAGTATACGTTTCTTTGCATTTCCTTTGTAGTATTACTATATAGCACAGCTCTGAAACACCAAAACAATATTCGTACACTCCTAAACGGCCGCCATGTTGTATATAAAAATATACGGTTAAAACTTAATTTTTGCAAAATTGCAACATTCCATTGTATACCAGCAACCAATCATATTCATTTCTGAGATGGATTATCCCAGAGCCTTCGTTTCCTTCCCAAGGATCGCGGGCTCGGGGAACGAGATTGGCCTAGAAGGCCTAGTGGATTTCCCAACAACAAGGCCAAAATTGCCCTGAAACTGCCCTGGTTGCAAAATGTCCAATTCAGAGGAGGAATGAGGGTCTTCCCGAAATGCAACGCGCCTGGCTGCGGCTCATTATTATTCAAAATCGTTATTCTCAATGCGCCGTTCGATTAAAAAGTGTTGAAATATATTGCGATTTTTCCTGTGAAGATATCGTTTTTTCTAAGGTATGTTTTGATAACTTTTTTGTTAAGTGATTTAATAACAGAGTTTCGGAATAATTTTGTTTACATATCGCATTTTAATTATGTTAAATTCCCAATGTATTTATGCATGTTCCGGGTCAGTGAACATGACCTTAAAGTGGCATTGATATATTCATGAGTAAATTATACTTTTTTACAAGGAAACTAAAATAAAATCACATCAGTGAATTCAGGAATGTTCGTTCATTATAGTGATACTTTAAAACATGAATTTACTCCATAAAACCAAAGAGTTATCGCCATGGGCGTACCGGAAGGAAAAAATTAGGGGGCGGAAAGAAAATTGCCCGATTTTTCGTTAAATTGCCCGACTAGTGCCAAAAAAATTTTCCCGGAAAATTTTTTTTGGCGAGTTCCACAACATCACCAAAGACAAAGGTATAGATTGTATTAATTTGAACGTATCTCTTTGAGAAAATTACATTGAACTGTACATAATCAGTGGCGTAACTACTATCGGCTCAGACCGGGAGAACCTGGGGCCCCCAACCCCAATGGGGCAAATGGGAGCCCCCAAGCTCGAAAAATATAGAGCAAAAACATTGGCCAGGGGCTCTGATATGTTACAATGTTGTTTTCTGACCATCAGAATTCTGTAAAATATCTCCCCAATGTCCAGGAGGCATTTCAGAGAGTCTATATTCAAACATTTTCCTGGTGAGCATGCCCTGGACCCCTAAAAAGTTTGTGCATATACGGCACTCGACTCATGCCTTTGGCACTTCTATTAGGGGAGGGGGCTTCGAAAATTTTGAACCAGGGGGCCCCCTCATATGTTATGCCACTGTATATAATAATTGTTTGCAAGCAATTGCTCATAGCAATCTCCTCCCAGTCAAAATTGCACTATTGTGCGACAATGTTGCTCACAAGCTAGATATCATCTGGTTTCAGAGCAGTACACAAGATTTTTTCACCAAGCGGGCACTAAGGCCTATATGCTGAAAAAAGTCGCAAATATCGACAGAATAATTAATGTCATTCTAAAAATTGTTAATATAGTTTCCTGAGGGTTTTCTCTTTGTGTATGGCCCTGTCAGGTTTAACTGTAATAATGATACAAATTGCTTCTAATAACTATTCAATAAAGTATTTATATATTTTTTGTTTTATAAAGTTTCCTAGCAAAAAGATTAGGCTGACTCCTACAAAGAAGTCCCCAGTAAAACATCATAAGTGGACCTTTGAGGAAAACAAAGCATTTATTGAATTCATATCAATTGCAAAAACAGATCCAAAATATGGACAATGTTCTGCGGTTAAAGAGTGGCCATCATTTAATTATAAAAACAATTTCTGGGATGATGCTGCCCGGCATATTCAATGCAGCACTTCTTCCAACATCTTACTGTCAAGTAAGTTTCTAAACTTATACTTAAAACTTGTTCTGGCCACTATGGCCCCTAGATACTTTCTAGATAGACTTTAATATTATTCACTCGTTTTCGCGGTATTTTTCCGTAATCGCATCTCATTAATAGCGAGCCAGGGGGTATTTTTACCGGTTTTTCTCTGGCTCGGTTCTCACGCCTGAGTGAGCATTCTTTTTTTACAAAAAGCGAATAAAAGCACCGTTTAAACCTATTCGTCTGTTATACTACAGTTGAAGGGGACAAGGCCTTTCCAGAAGGAACAGAATAGTAAAAAAAGAGTCACTTTTCCGGCGTGTATACATCGAGAAAGACGAACTGACTTCGAAGATATCTTTGTAGCGTGCTCGAAAATCGCTACAAAACGGCTTCAACTACAGAAGAACACGACTGTTTTACAACGAACAGCTCAATGGCAGATAAAACCACCGTCGACAACCCCGAGGTAGGAACACTAGATACGTTTTTATCGCAAAATACGGCTGAAAATACGGTAGAAAATACGGGTCAAAACGAAATAAACAGTACTAAACCTGATAAAGCAAGCCCAGAAACGGACGAAAATACTCTGTCTGTCTCGACAAACGACCCATCCTCTCGTCCCAAAAGATCAGTAAAACCCACCGAAAAGTCTATCGAAAACAGGGTTCAGTCTGATCATTCAAAACTTGACAAATTGTGGCGAAACACGTCAACTGCTGTGGGCAAATTGCAAGAAACACCCGATTCGCTAAATCAAATAAAATCCCATACGTCAGAAGTACGTTCGCTATTCCACGAGTACCACGCTGTTTCTTTGTCGCTCTTAGAGTTTCTCGCTAACCTCAGCGACCCCAAACACCAAAAAGAATACGAAACATTGCATAAACTCGTAAATAATCGTAGCGAGTACATTCATACAGTAATAAACGAAGCAAACGAGCGGAAAAAGGAACTTTTGCTTGAAATTAACTCTGTCCACCATTCCCGAATTTCCCGTAGTTCCCGCAGCTCCACAACATCCTCCACCGCCGCTCGAGCTCTTGCAAGAGCTGAGGCTACAGCGGCACTAAAGAAAGTAGAAATGCAAAAATGGCGATCATTGCGAGAGTCCCAGTCTGCCATGGAAATACAACAACAAGAACTTGCTCTAGCCCAAAAGAAAATGGAAGAGAAATCCCGAATGGAAAGTTTACTATTAGAAGAAGAAGCAGCAGTCGCCGTTGCTAAAGCTCAGGCAATAGATAAAGAACTGAGCCTCGTAGATCATCAAGATCCTGAACACTTTGACCTACCCCAAGACGATCCTGCGGAAAGGGTCCAAAACTATATAAATTCGCAACGCTTCGAAGAATCTAACATTGGCCAAGACTCTAGTCCCCCGGTTCCAAATCATGTCATCGGTCCACAACTCCCACAGAATACCAACCATCCTATACGAGAAAAACCACCCAACCGAAGACTAGACCCGACGACCAACTCGTTTATCCCTCAACCACAGAACTCTCGGACAGACCCCAGTACAAATGCTATAAGCTCTTACATCCAATTCATGGCACGCAGAGAGCTTATCGCTAATAAGATTCAGAGATTTGACGATAATCCCAGAAATTTTTACGGTTGGAAAGAATCCTTCAAGAATATGATACGAGACATTCACCTCTCCCCTAGCGAAGAGCTATCACTCATCATAGAGTATACCAGCAACGAATCAAAGAAACTTGCTCAACGGCTTCGAAACGCATATATCAACAAACCCACAAAAGGCGTGGAGATACTATGGCAAAAACTTAGCCAGCGGATAACAAGAAATTCCAAGAACTCGGAGATTTGCTCTTAGAATTACAGTGTGCTAAGAACGACGGCGGATACAGAGGCCTCAGAATCCTCGACGAGCCCGCTTACATTAAACCTGTCATTGCGAAGCTCCCTGGCGATATCCAAAGCAGATGGCAAAAGCACGCCTTTCGATATAAGAAACAACACGCCGAGGTTGACTACCCCCCATTTTCCGAGTTTGTCACCTTCATCCAGGAGTTGTCCCTCGAAAGAAACGATCCTAACCTGATCATAGAGATTCCCGAGAGGAAGAACACAGGTATGCGAAACCCGAGCTGGCGACAAGAAATTAGTGTAAAGAAGACTGAGATCGAGGCCCAAGATCGCAGAGTCGGACACGATCCCCCACCTCGTAACCCTACGAACTGGTGCATTGTCCACCATAAAGGGCACCCATTAAGCAAATGTAGAGCCTTCCAAGCCATGCCACTCGATGAAAGAACCACAATACTAAGAAAGAACAGAGTATGCTTTCGCTGTATTGCATCGTGCGATCACCTCGCGAAGGACTGCAAGGCCAAGGTCATGTGCACCGAATGTGGAAGCAACAAACACCTCGCCGCACTACACGTTGACGGTGAGCAAAGGCACGGCGGGGAGCAGGTAGCAAATAAAGACCAATCCGATGATGGCGCTAACCCTCGACAAAACCAGCACGCGGGAGAGATTACAAACAAATGCACCGAAATATGCGGGAATTCCCTCGGTGGGAAATCATGCTCAAAAATCTGCCTAGCCAACATATACGTCACCGGACATCCAGAAACCAAAGTGAAGGCGTACGTGGTAATCGATGATCAGAGTAACAGTTCTCTAGCAAAATCCGAACTGCTCGATCGCCTAAACGTTCACGGTCAAGCAACCTCGTATTCGCTTAGAACATGCGCCGGAACAACTCAGATTCGAGGAAGATGCAGCAAAAATCTCGTCGTAGAGTCTGTGGACGGTAATAAAAGTCATCAGCTGTCGAACGTAATCGAATGTAACGCGATCCCTGATTCTAAAGAAGAGATACCTTCGCCAGAGGTAGCCCGAGCTCACCCACACCTACGCGAAATTGTTGACAAAATACCAGAGATCCGTGGCGACGTAGACATCCTACTGCTCATCGGTCGGAACGCTCCTCCACTTCAAAAGGTTCACGAATCCCGTAACGGACCTAGAAACGCCCCTTGGGCCCAGCGTCTTGATCTAGGATGGGTCATCATCGGCCACGCTTGCCTGGACGGAGCTCACACACCGAAGCCTTCCTGTTACAAAACAAACGTTCTCGAAAGCGGCCGACCATCAATCTTATCACCCTGCCCTAATCGTTTCCACATCAAGGAATACACGTCCACCGCTTCTGCCGTCCCCTGCGACGGAAACAACGACCAAAGGAAAGAGACATTCGAAAACGGAAACTTTGACGATGGCCTAGCAGCCAAAGTGTTCGCAAGTTCGAAGGACGACAACAAACCTGGTCCCTCCGTGGAAGACAGGAGATTTGTCAACATAATGGAACATCAAATGGTCAAAAACGAAGCAGGGAACTGGGAGGCGCCACTTCCATTTCGCAACCCGATATCAAGACTACCAGACAACCGCGAAGACACTCGTAAGCGTTTTAACTCCACAAGGCGGACTCTCGAAAGGAAACCGGAAATGAAAAGAGACTATTTTGAGTTTATGCAAAAGCTCTTCGACAATGGTCATGCGGAGCCCGTTCCCGAGAGTGACATAGCTTCAAAAGGACCACGGTGGTACCTTCCCCACTTCGGCGTCTACCACCCCCGAAAGCCTGATAAAATACGGGTAGTTTTCGATTCAGCAGCCGAAACCAACGGAGTGTCACTAAATAAGCTACTTCTCTCTGGCCCAGACGTGACGAACAGTCTCGTAGGTATTCTCTTGCGCTTTCGCTGCAACACCATCGCGTTCATGACGGACATCGAACAAATGTTCCTCTCCTTTCTGGTTCGTCAAGACCATCGAGATTATCTTCGCTTTTTCTGGCATAAAGACAACAACCCCGAAGAAGAAGTGATCGAATACCGTATGAAGGTGCACTTGTTCGGTAACACTTCCTCGCCAGCTATTGCAACATGCGCTCTTAGAAAGACAGATCTCGTAGGAGAACCCAAGTACGGACCGGACGCAAGAGAGTTCGTAGAGAAGACTTTTACGTAGACGACGGCCTAAAGTCCGTTCCCGATCGCGAGGGAGCCGTCGACCTGTTACGCAGAACCAAAACCATGTTAGCCGACGCCAATCTGCGCCTCCACAAAATCGCGTCCAACGACCCTACGGTAACACAGGCCTTTCCCGTCGAAGACCGAACTTCCGACCTACGCAATCTGGACCTTATCGTAGTACCGATTCAGCGCTCGTTGGGTGTATTTTGGGACCTACAAGCAGACGCCTTTACCTTTCAGGTCGTCGACGGAGCCAAACCCTTTACAAGACGTGGCGTTCTCTCTGTCACCAACAGCCTTTATGATCGTCTCGGAATCGCTGCCCCGGTCGTCATCAAAGCCCAAATCCTGCTGCGAGCTATGACAACAAGCATGAAACGCCACCCACTTGACGACTGGGACCAACCGCTACCTGAGCAATATAAAGCATCCTGGGAAGCTTGGTGCAAATCGCTCTCAGACCTAACCGAAGTCAGAGTCCCACGTACCTACGCAAGCTTGTCACTGTCTGAAGCAAGCCGTGTAGAAATCCACACATTTTGCGACGCCTCCACCGAAGCCATTGCTGCTGTCTCATACATCAAAGTCGTCCTGAAAGACGGTCAAGCCCAAGTATCATTCGTGTTCGGCAAAGCTAAGCTGGCTCCGTCACACGCCACAACGATTCCCCGTTTAGAGCTTTGTGCTGCAGTGCTCGGCGTAGAAATTACGGAGCTGGTTATCGAAGAGTTAGCAGTAAAACCACACTCCGTAACCTATTACACGGACAGTAAAGTTACACTAGGATACATTCTTAACGAAACGCGCCGGTTCTATGCGCGTACAAAGAATACGAAGGTCGTCGTCACCAGATCAGTGGAGATACGTGGCAACTGACCTCAACCCAGCAGATCTAGCTACTCGATCGGTGAAAGCCTGCGACCTCAAAGACTCGTCTTGGTTGGCCGGCCCGAAGTTCCTCCAAAGCACAAGTTCCCTCGACGTTCCACCGGAGACCGAGACCTTCCAACCCCCACAAGAAGACCCAGAACTTCGTCCCGAAATCACAACCCTCGCCACGAACGCAAAGCCCGGAGTTCAGAAAAACCTTGGAACTGATCGCTTCCTACGCTTCTCGCGGTGGGCAAACTTAGTGAACGCAGTATCGAAACTAATGATGGTCGCTCAGCATCACCACCATGACAAAGCGTCAGTCGGCAACGAAACTACGGTAATCCAGGCACGAAAACGCGCACAGTTGTTGATCGTAAGGAACCTACAGATCGAAGCGTTTGAGGAAGAATTCGATTCCTTAGAAAAGAAAAAGGGACTGTTAAAAACATCACCACTGTTAAAACTTAACCCAATAATCGACTCCGACGGTCTCTTACGCATTGGTGGGCGTCTTAAACGAGCTGACCTTCCGTACGAAGAACGTCACCCCCTCATTCTACCCGGGGAACACCACGTGACAAGTCTAATCGTTAAGAACTGCCACGAAGAAGCGAAACACCAGGGTCGTCATTTCACCCACGGCACGGTCAGATCAAAAGGATTCTGGATCGTCGGCGGAAAACGCCTCGTCAATCGCGTTATCCATCAGTGCCTGAAATGTAAGAAACTCCGAGGCAAGCTTCATCAGCAGAAGATGGCAGACCTCCCATCAGAACGCATCACTCCATCACCTCCTTTCACCTTCGTCGGACTGGACATTTTCGGTCCATGGGAAGTCACAGCTCGTCGTACCAGAGGAGGACACGCTTACAGTAAACGATGGGCAGTAATCTTTACTTGCCTTTCAACGAGAGCTATTCATATCAAATTAATCGAGTATGGACGCTTCTAGTTTCATAAATGCACTTCGAAGATTCATGGCTATCAGAGGGCCCGTTCAACAGATTCGCTCGGACTGCGGAACGAACTTCAAAGGAGCTCAGAACGAACTAGAATCGGCTCTAAAGGAAACGGATCAAAAGATGGTGGAGACGTACTTGAATTCTCAAGAATGCGAATGGATTTTCAACTCTCCTCACGCTTCGCATACAGGAGGCGTGTGGGAACGTATGATCGGTATTTCTAGACGAATCCTGGACTTGATGATGGCCGAGCTAAGACCAACACGACTGACTCACGAAGTCCTATCAATACTGATGACTGAGGTGACAGCTATCGTGAACAACAGACCGCTAGTAGCCATCTCAAGCGACCCCTCTGCACCCGAAATCCTCACACCATCTACTCTCCTGACGCAAAAAACGGCAACACTCAAGTCAACCCCAGGAAATTTTGTCCCCCAAGACCTCTATACCAAACAGTGGCGGCAAGTACAACTATTAGCCAACCGTTTCTGGTCAAGAATTCTTGCCGACATTACAATACAGGCGAAAGTGGACAACAGACGTTCCAAATCTCCAAGTGGGAGATCCGGTCCTCCTCCGATGCAAAGAATCGCCGAGAAACGATTGGCCGCTAGCTCGCGTCTCGAAGACCCTAAGCAGCGCGGATGAAAAAGTTCGAAAGGTAGAAGTCACGACAGCAAAGAACGGCTCAAAGCAAGTGTACACCAGACCAGTGACAGAACTGATCCTGCTAAAAACTGAATACGAACTAAATTCGTGTTCGTGACTCAATAATAACACTTTAGAACGTTAAATGTAGTGGTATTTTCATACCAGACGGGGAGTGTTCTGGCCACTATGGCCCCTAGATACTTTCTAGATAGACTTTAATATTATTCACTCGTTTTCGTGGTATTCTGGCTCGGTTCTCACGCCGAGTGAGCATTCTTTTTTTACAAAAAGCGAATAAAAGCATCTTTTAAACTTATTCGTCTGTTATACTACTGTTGAAGGGGACAAGGCCTTTCCCGAAGGAACAGAATAGTAACTAAAACACACATAGGTACAAAGAATTTTCACTTTGTGAAATATTATATTTTCCTGATCAACAACTTATAATGCATCATACTACTGTGGGACACTGTTAGTCTGCACATAGCAAGCACAACAATGCAAAACCCCAAATAAAATTTACTTCAAAACCCCCTGTCTGTAGGTATTAGAATGCTGTTTTGCCCCCTCGCTTCGCCAATTATAAATTTTACAACCATATATTATATATATCACAAATTAGTTGGGGCCCCCAATTTATAGAAAATCATAAATAAAAAAACAATAATCCTAAATCATGCCTACTAAAAACTTATTCAACCCTAAAAACTTATTCAAATTCCTATCAACACAGCATGTAGTTGTATTAAATACATAAGCATTATACAAACTCTATTGTTGTCTATATTACAAAACTTGCAATCTATGTATTATACATTATTATTATATACAGTACAGTGCCTTATAGAGATTTCAAGCACCGATAAAAGTGATAATCTCACATGTGAAATGCTTTTCAATTATCGCCTTTCTGTAAAAAAATATCGCTTTTCAAAGACTGTCCTTAATTATAATAAACAGAAAAATACATGGGTGCTTGGAAATACCAGATTTATTTCTCGCGTTGAACATGTTCAACACTCAATAAAAATAAAACAAAAATCCTAAATCATGCCTACTAAAAATTTATTTCAAATTCCTATCAACATAGCATGTAGTTGTATTAGATACATATATTTTATGGGAACTCTACTTTCTAAATCACAAAATTAAGTATGTTTTGTCACTGAGCAAGGAGTTAGCAAAGAAATGACACAGAAATCATGCAGAAAATATATTTAATACTTGCATATTTTGCTTGTCGTGAACGCTATCAAGTTACACAATAAGAAATATCAAAGGTTATTGTGTACAGAATGAACATAGATCAGATTTCAATATTTAGACAAATTATTCAGATGCACCTCTCAAATATCAAAATAGTGCGAGGGCCGTATGTTTAATAACTTTTATGGTTAATACGTTTTCCTCGTGAAATAAAGTTTCTAATCTATTATTAAAGAAAGCAATCTCGTCACAAACGTGTTACAAGAAAATATATTTAATATTAAAATAGTACACAAAGAATTTTCACTTTGTGAAATATTATATTTTCCTGATCAACGACTTATAATGCATACTGTTGTGGGACACTGTTAGTCCATGTGTCAATTATAAATTTTACAACCATATATTATTTATACAAAATCATAAATAAAAACAAAAATTCTAAATCATGCCTACTAAAAACTTATTCAACCCTAAAAACTTATTCAAATTCCTAGATACATAAACATTATATGAACTCTATTATTTTCTATATTACAAAATATGTTATACATTACATATAAACTAGTTGGGGCATTGATAGAAAATCATAAATGAAAATAAAACAAAAATCATGGCTAGGCAAAAAAATGTGGGTTTCCGGTTTCCCAACCCTACCTAGCTTTTGGACGTCAAAATCCCGACCCTAAACTTTTTTATTGGATCATGCTTGTGTTTCCACTTAGAGGAAAAAGTTTGTGTAAAATTGAAATTCGAGGGAATATTTGGGAAATTTATCTTTGGATGTGGAAGCACTGACTAAACAAAATGGCGTCCGGTTGTTAGGAAAATTTTAAAAAAAGTTTAAAAAAAACTTAAAACTGACCTACCCTACCTAAGTTTTTATAAGAAGAAACCGGAAACCCACATATTTTTTTGGCCCCACTAAAAACTTATTCAAATTCCTATGAACATAGCATGTAGTTGTAAGAAGCATGTTTCGTGATATGTTCATGCCACAATTTTTTGCTCTTTGCATGTTCTAAACATGTATCATTTTTACAGATTTATCAGTCCGCCATATTGTTAGATTGTTACACTCCGCCATATTGAAATTTGCCATATTGTTTCCACTTAATCTGGCAGCCTTACTTCGTTCCAATTCTCAGGGAACCCCCATTTTATCAATATTATAAATGGGCCATTCCAGAAAATATCCATACCACCCACACGGAGGAAATTGGAAGTTAACCCCCCTACCCCCTTCGGATGTCCTAATACATTTACTATTATCAGAAACAATTTTTTCTCCC